TTGTGGGTCCCCTCCAACTCAGGATATTCAGTGATTCTAAAAATATTTCTGTGTCTGACCTTTAGGATTTCCTAATATAAATCCACCTTCTGCCTTGGTTGCTGCCATGCAGAGCATAAGATAGGAGTGGAAACATGTTAAAAACTGTTCCATCTTTGCAATGCATTTACATTGCTAAAAGAAAGGTTAATGCTTTTTATAGACTGCAAAAATGTATACTAAATTTTAGCAAGTCAGAGATATCTGGTTGGATAGTCCCTCAGATGAACTAGGGATTATTTTTAAGATTATATTCACACACTGTATGGTTGTGAGTCTTTTAGGAGATGTGTACTGGTCAAATAGTATTAATAATTTTTTTCTGGTGCTATAACTCCAGTTCATTCAAATCCATCAACTCCAATGCTTTACCTTATTTGTGTATTTGTGAATACGAATAAACCAGGAAGACAGATTTGTAGGAGACAAAGAAATACTTTCCTCAATCAGTTATTCTTTTCTTCTTTCCCCATAAATCAGACTTTGTTGGAAAACTTTTCTGAAAAGGATAATTTCAGGGCTTTGAGTCTCATCAGTATAACCTTAACCATCAGTGAGAGAGAGGATTATTTATTTGCTTTGAAATGGAAAAAAAAAAAAATCTGAGAATCGTTTCCCTTTCATTTCTGTCTCTAAAATATTGTCTAGAAATAGCTTAATCTATGAAATATTTTTAAAACACCATTTCTCCTACAACCTGCAAATTCCAAAGAAGTGAAAATGGATAAGTTTTTGCTGATCTCCATTTTCCTTTTTTGGGATAAGAAAAATTACATTGACTATAACATAGGTTATAAATTACTATGAATTTGCTCATTAAATTATGTCATTGCATTTTTATATAACATTAAAATTATTATTAGTTAAGCAGTTAAGAACTTCTAGAATTAATATTGCATATGCATGCTCAATTTTTCTCCATGTCTATTTGCCTTATGATGGTTTTCAATTATGCAGTTCCATACTATTTTTACATGGCCTCATCTCTTAAATTTGCAGGGTAGATGGTGCCTGCTCTAACTAAATTTATTAACGGGTTAGAAACAAAAAAGGGACTAATGCATTGTGGTGCTCAGTGCCTCAACATTTCGTCATTTAATAATTCAAAAATTAGCATTATGAATTCCACTTCTGGAACTGAGTGACTAGGTTAGTCTGTGAGAGATAGGCACCTGGAACAGGGATCCTGAGAAGCAGCACTCTTGAGTATTGACATGCTGAAATAATTAATAGAAAGCAACAAAAAGAAAAGTTTAGCTACAAACCTGTTTCCTACACACTTATGTGCATTTGCCTCAGGACTTCATTTACACTGGAAGTCAGATCTTGAAACCATGACGTTCAGTGTTCAGATCACTTTTCTTTAAAAATCCTGCAGTACAGTATGGCTTACTGAAGTGCCTGAGTGCTTACAAAATTGGAAACTTGAGTTCTTTTTACCCCAAGAAGTTTGAACTTATATTTCTAGCATCCTGTGATGATTTTCAAAACAGGGAAATCAGGTCCTTTTAAATACTGAGGTTCATAGATAGCTTGGGGGGAAATTAGGCACCTAGGCGTTAGCCTAGGAAAGACAGGGGTGTTGATATGAAGCTTGTCTCTAGTCATCCTACACCCCCATAGCTTCTTTGGTGGGTTTGGCAGAGTATAATGGATCTCTTGTGTAACATAAGCACCAAAATCCTTTGTCTGTGGCGTTTGCTTTCTTGGGTCTGCCCAGCTCTTCTGTGAAATCAGTATTGTGTAGTGCCATGTACATTATGTTTCTCACATTTGCATAGAAAACAGATTATTAACTTTCTAATGGACTTTCCCATTCTACAGTTGGTAAACTCAGGACCAGCAAAGATATTTTAGGTACCTCACTGGCTTTGAGAGGTAGCTTTGTATCTGTATGACCATTGGTGTCTTTTACTTCACAATGAGTGTGAAGTATAACATTATATATCATGGAATCATAGAATGGTTTGGGTTGGAAGGGACCTTAAAGATCATCTAGTCCAACCCCGCTATGCCAATATACACACATAAAACACACAAAGAACTCCTGTAAATAAATCGGTCGAAATCTTCAAAAATAGCAAGTAGTGCGGGTGAGGGGCCTGTGTTTTCAGAGTGGGTAGCATTTTTCCAGCATTTGTCTTTACAAGAGTGTTCTCATTCACCTCTTGGAATTGCAAACAGTCAGCACTTCTTTGGCAGAAAACATCAAATACACACGTAGCAGCTCTTTAGTGTAAAGCCTTCTGACAGAGTCCTTTGGCAGAAAATTCGCTTGTCAGGTTCTCCTGAAATTTTACTTGTTGCAACGTTGTTCTTTCATTGGCCTCATGAAAGATATCTTAGGTTCATGTTTTCACTTTTCGGTGCTTTACCGAAATGAAATTCCTTGACACAGCTGTTCCAAGTCTTAAGACACACAAGTGACCTCTTTAACGCCTTGTAAGTGTTCCCTTTCCTAAAATACCAAGTTTGTGGACAAGCTGGGTTTAGATTTCATGCATTAGGACGTAAGATAATGCAGGAAACAGGCAATACAATAAATAGTACTTATATAACAGAAACAATATTCAAATCTAGAAAATAAAAAGATAGTACACTCCATTAACATTTTTGTGGACTTATCCTATAATATTCTCACAGATTAACTCAAACTAAATCATTGGGATTTCCAGGTTTATTTCTCTGTGGCTATTGACCGCTAAAAAAGAATAACAGTTGAATGCTTTTTTAGATCTGCAGAAGTAGTTCTGGTAATGCATTTTTAGAAGAAAACATGACATTCATTTTCATTACAGAGTAGGCTAGAAAGGGAAATAAAATATTTAATATTTTTGTGAGAATGAGAAGCACCTTTAATGTGTGAAATGATGAAATTGTATGATGCAACAAAATACATGTAAATGAACTAAATTTGCATGAACTAAATAAAAGTGACTGTGTGTTTAAATGAGGAACCCTTCTTAATTCTTTAGTTTGTAAGTTATTTCTGAAGATTGCCTCAACTGAGATTTTGTGTTCCCATGAGGTTTTGTTTTACAAGGAGAGTAAAACTATATATAATGCGGGATCGAGTCTATATTTAACCTCTGGAGCACAACTGGGTAGAATTATTTTTATCTTAATTCTTGAAAGTTGCAACTTTTCTTGCACATCCCAGCTTTACCAGGTTAAGCTAACCTGCTATTGGAACAGGTTTTTTAAAATCAAACCTTACAAAATTTTTCTTCTGTTTAACTTAGTCATTTTAGAAACACGTTTAGCTATGCAGGTGCGGTTTCCAAGTTAGACAAGAAGTGAGCCTGACACCTATAATTTCTTCTTACTGGTTTTTTCCCATCTGAAAATTTCAAAATTAGTCCTTAAATTTAGCCTGGTACAGAAAACTCAGAGCATATGCCTATGCCTTCTCCTTGTTTGGTGCGGTTCAAGCAGAGGTTAACAATATAATTTAGCCAAACATGAAGGTTAATAAATAACTAACAAAGCATTATTTATTCTTTTCTATTAGAAAGACACTGGTTTGTATAGCTTTAGTTTGAAAGTGTTCCCTAAAGGGATCTTTCTACACTTGGTTCTTTGTTCTTCTACTTAGTTTCTTTATCTCAGATCGTAACTATAATGGAAGACTGCACCAACCTCTGAACATTTAGTGCAAGATAAGATTTAATTCAGTCATAAAAAGTCTTTCAGGACTCACTAAGCTTTTTATTCTGCAATTTAAAATTATTGTACAGCTATAAACTATGCAATATGACAGTAGAACACTTTATTAGAACAAAAAAAAAAAAAGGTTTACTACAAAAATACATTCTTATTCACTAATGAATTTTATGCATTCTTTGAAAAGTTTTCAAAATGTTAATTCTAGTAATTTCCAGAGGATATATAATCAGTTGCCTAGGTTAACAGATTTTGCTACTTGAAACATTTTCCGTTTAAAGTCACTAATAATAAAAAAAAATCTTCATTGCATAAGTTTGCGTATCTCATGTAGGTTCTCGTAGTTTTTCATGCCAATTTTTTCCAACATATGGTTTAAAATCACTTAACTGCTGAGTTGTGTGGAAGTGAACTTCCACAAGAGACAGTTTAAAAAATTGTGAAAAGAATTTATATGCTTGTTTTGCTCTATGTTTATGTGTATTTTGAAATCTTGTACTTAAAAAAAGTATGTATTTTCAACCATGTCAGGCATCTCAGTGTTTGGATGGAGAAGTAATAGTGAAGAACATGCCTGTATAGTACATACATAAAGTTGTCCTGATGGTGGTTTGGATGGTGCCACTTGCTCTTATTCATCGCTACATTAAAGTTCAACAAAGAAGTTGGGGGAGTGGGTGGGACTCCCCTATACCCTTAGACCTGACCTGTTGTCAGAGATCAGATGTTACTCTTTCTGAAAGATGAGAAGAGGGGCGTGCACTGAGGGGAGGTGTTAGTCACTGTGGTCATGATAGCTGAGAGATGTTTTCTGTGTTTGCCATGGCAAGGCTTAAATCCTCATCCCTTGTGGCACTTTGTATGAAAATAAACCTATTCAGATTAGTATTATGGAAAAATTCCTCCTTGGGGCAGATCCACTATCAAATCTGCATTTTCATGGATTCTTGTAAACTCCCATACATGTCATAGGGCAATCCAGAAACAGTAGTGTTGTATAGACAAATCTTGTTCGGTTTTTGATATTGTAGAATTTATGTAAAAATTAGGATTAAATTTGTTGAAGCATGAAGCTCCTTCCTCTGAATTTCATACCCAAACTACATAATTTTCTTTTGCAACTGAACACAGCTGAATTTTGGCTTGATGGAAACACTCGTGGTGCTATCACCCCGAGTCAAAAAACATCGGGCTCAATATTGATTGTGTTTTAGCCTAAGCTCTCGTTAATGAAAAATCAGTATCAGCAAAAAAATTTCTGATAAATATAACGGTCTGGTTTTATGCCTGTATTTCAGAATTTCCATCAAGAAGTCAAGAAAACAGATGATTCAGAAAGCCTGTCAAGCCTTGACAGTCTTGAGGCTGGAGAACAAAATGGAAATTACACCACACCAAGTGAATCATCTTTGACTACACAGTGTGACTGTGCCCTGTACAATCCAGAAGAATCACAGACTAGGAATAATAGTTTGCTTTCTGCAGCTCGAAGTCCTTCTTCTAAAAATATGCACCTAAATAATTGTCTGAGAAATGTAGATTCGCCATACCACCACAATTTACCTATTCATGATCTTTTAGCTAAACATAATGTTCTTACTCATGCTGAAAAAGTAAACAATTCAGAAGAGGAACCATCTGCTTCTCATAGATCTGGAGAAAAACCCACAGAGTTCTCTGCCTCTGGTAAGCAAGAAAGCTCTGTAAGTAATGCATTTAGTTTTCTCCAAAATATAAAAGAAGAAAGAAGCAAGCCATTTTCTGGAACAGCTAGTGCATTAGCCACTGGTCATCCTGTTTTCAGTCCTAGCAAAACCTGGGCCAGCCCTGATTCTATTCCAGGAGAAAGAGTTCAGGATCTGATGCAAGATCAGAGTTTTAAAATGACCCCACAAAGAAGAACTGTATCTGTGCAAACCTCCAGTCATCCTATTGCAACATCTATAATCTCATTTCCTAATCAGGGATGTTCCACTGGCATTCCCAGCACAGCTGATACATTACCAAAGGACAAAAACATCAGTATGGAGTTTTTAAAAAACACCTCGGGAAAAATGACTGAATCAAAAGAAGAAAATATTAACTGTATTGATGACATTAATCCAGAATCATCTTTATTTCAGGACATACCAAATGCCTCAGTTCTGTGCGATGTTAAGCAACAGAATACCAAAGAGAAAGAAAAGGGAAATATGATTGAAACTGTGTCACTGGTGTCTGATACAGAGTTCAATTCTGGCACTCCTGCACACCACAAAACCCTGAAAAACAATATTCATGAAAGAAAAAGAGCAAAGTTATTCAGAAGTATCTTAAAGAAGGATTCTAAATATGAACCCAGTCATTGCAAAGCTGTGGTTATGAACCACGGGATCAGGTTTGGAACTCGGCCCATGTCTTCTATCAAAGACAGTTTAGAACTGGCAAAAATAAAAAAGAAAAGTGCAGAAAATGAAAAATACAATAGAAAGTTAAGATGGTGTGATCAAATTAACCCGATAATAATAGAAAATAATGACAAATGCTATGAAAAAAGTACCGGTGACATATCTTCTGCACAGCTGAAATATGTTCAAACTATAAATAATGCTCCTAAGACTAATTTAAGTATTGTTGCCCAGCCTTCAAACCCCATGTTCCTAAAAAATCATCAGGAAGACTCTGGTATATCAAAATCAAATGTTAATACTGAAGAATCAAATAAAGAATGCACATCTCTGAATATATTTATGTCTACTGGACCCTCTTCTGCTAAAAAAGCTTGGATGGTATCAAATGCTGAAGAAAGTTTATTCCCAGTACATAGTAATAATTCTAAAATTAATGAAGGTGATCAACTCAAAAATAAGGCAAAAATAATGAGAAGAACAACATCTGTAAAAGCCCAGACAAGTTTTATGCCCAAGAAGAGAACAGGCACTATAATCCAACCACAGTCAGCCACTGAAGCCAGCAAAACTCGGAAAGCTGCAGGGAAATTGCTAGCGCCTCACCCACCATCCGCACCTCTGCTGGGAAACCGAAGTGGCAAAAACGCAGCCAGCTCTGGGTGTCA